CCCCCTCTCCAGTCCCTCACCACACCCCCGTCCGTGTCCTTGGGTTGTGCACACGTGCATCTAAGTTCTTCGGTTCTCTCTCCCCCTCCAGCACCCGCCCCCCTCCATGCCTCTGAGATTTGTCAGTCTGCCTACGTACATTTGAATAGTAGTGGTAGATATATATATAGATGCAAAATATGTTGTTTAGTCAGTGGACATTTCTCGGAGGAGGCAGGTGTATCACCTCTCATTACCCCAGCCCCACCCCCTCAGTTCGGAGCATTGTTTGGTGAAGCCAGTGTCATGGATTCACTTCCTGTGGGGGCCCAGAGGTTTCAGTTCCATGGCTGTGGTCTGCATTCTTGCCCAAAGTATTTGGTGAATGCATGTTATCGGTCAGAGAGTGAAATCAGCATTGCTCAGCCCAAGTTATTACTTCTTCCCTCAAAACAAATCACCATACTTGTTTTCACGGGGGTAGCAGCTTCCGGTAATAGCGATGATGGCGTGTCTGCCTCTGGCCAGGCACTGTGTGCCAGCTCCCATTCCGCCTTCGCATCGGGATTGCGAGGGAGGTGCTGTATGTAGTCCATGTCATGGGTGAGGGAGCACAGAGAGGTGCAGCCGCTTTCCCAAAGTCACACAGCTAGCAAGCGGCAGGACAAGGATTTGAAGCCAAGTGTCTTGGTGACTGACTCATGCTGTTAACTGCTATGCTAAGACCGAGTCAGAGAAGACCCGGTAACGGCAAAGCGTGTGGGATGCAAGTCCTGTGGCTCACACGTGAGCTGATTCTTGGAGATTGTGCCTGCTCGTTGCTCCATCGCGGGCTGAGCGAGGGAACGAGGGAGGAGGTTTGTACTGAGCGGTGTTTTCTCAGAAGAGAGCGGCAGGTGTGTTGCGGTAATAACCTGTCTCTCTGCTCTAGGCATGGAGAGGCACATTGAAGAAGACGAGGTCCGCTCGTCCGCAGACCTTCGGATTCGGAAATCGCAGGTAGGACTTTCTCTGGTCTCGCAATCGTCTAGTTCAATCTTTAAAAAATTTTTTTCTCTTAGCTCAGGATTCTTTTTTTTTTTTAAACACAATTCTTATTTGGAACCCAGTTGAAAACTGGAAAGGCGGGAGCTGCCCCCGTTAAAGCAGCGAACAGGGCCGGAGTCCCTCTCTCACGCTTTCCTTCTCCAAGGAGGCCCCTGAAGAACTTCCTAGGGCTCCCAGAGCACAGTTTAGGATTTCGTATGTCTCCTTGTTTTACAGGCAAGGAAGTGGAAGTCTTCTCTCTAAATATTGTTTGTCGTTAGTTACCCAGTTTGGAGTTCGGCTCTGTGGTGCTCGTGAAAGATGTGATCCTTGTCATTAAAGAACTGGGATGATGTTCAGGTGCATAAGGAGCCTGTTACGTGAGACCCAGCAGGAGGGCAGTGCAGAAGACGTAGTCTATGGCACGTGCTCTCAGCATGGAAAGGTTTTGGGAAGAGTCGTGGGTAGCCAGAGGAGGCTGGCTCTTGGATGGGTGAGCGTGCCCACCTGGATAGGCTCAGGGGTAGAGGTCCTCCCAAGAGGCAAGGGGGCAGGGATAGCCTGTGTGTGCGTGTGTGCGTGTGTGTGTGCGCGCGTGTGTGTGTGTGCGTGTGGCCGCAGTGGTGGTGATGGGGGTGGGGTGGCGAACAAGGGCGGACATGAAGAGAGGCAGCCCATCTGGAAAAAAAGTTTGTTGTGGGCTAGCGGAGGTTGAGTTTTTGGTGGCGGAAGTAGTACCGTGCTCCAGAGGTCCCCGACTGCTGGTCTAGGGCACCCGATTAGGATCGAGTCGCCCGTGTGGATGCTGCGGTCGGGTAGGAAGATAGCCTGGTAGCCATCTGAAAGCTGGCTGGGAGTGGGAAAGAGGCAGGAGGCAGGCAGGTGCAGAAAAATGTGGGAGCAGGGCGCTGAGATGCACCGAGTGCCTCATCTGGCCGCACAGTTACCGTCTGAGGTCAGCGGGGCAGGTAAGCATGCTGAAGACGGGCCCCGGAAAGGGCAGCCGAGCTCCCGTTGGCGGCAGGTTAGGAAACCGAAAAGCTGAGCCTGACGTTGGTCCTTTGGTTCCGAGGCCGGGGCTGCTGGAGATGAAGCCCTGTGGGGCGGCGACGGGGTGGGGGCGCTGCAGGGGCTCGGGACCCCCCACCTCCCTCACCGCCTGCATTTGACATGATTCCCACAGCACTCTGTCCTCTCCCGGAAGTTCGTGGAGGTGATGACCCGATACAACGAGGCTCAGGTGGACTTCCGCGAACGCAGCAAAGGGCGGATCCAGCGGCAGCTCGAGATCAGTGCGTGCCTGAAGTTTGTTGGTGTTTCTCTGCCTTGTCCCGCCACGTGGTTGTCCGTCCCAGCTGTGAGACGGGAGAGGAGCAGCAGCCGAGCCCGTGGCTTCCGTCTCGTACTCTGTGCCCAAGCCCGCCCGCTTCCTGGATGCTGGTTCTTAGGCTGCAAGGTGGCTCGGTGTTTATCAGGCCCAAGCGACTCTGTTCTTGTGGGAGCCACCGTGTCCTATACATAGAGGGGAGCCACTTGCTAAATAGTGGCTCTTCTGGGGACTCATGACACTTTTTGCTGTATTTTTAAAAAATATATTATTGATTTTTAGAGAGAGGGGAAGGGAGAGAAACATGGATGTGAGAGTGAAACACTGATCGGCTGCCTCCTGCATGCCCCCCACCGGGGGGAGCCCACAACCTGGGCATGTGTCCTGACTGGGAGTCGAACCCGTGACCTCTCTGTTCACAGGACGACTCCCAACCAACCGATCCACACCTCCCAGCGCATTTTTGCTGTCTTTTTGATAGTGAAGAACATTTATGAACTAAAAAGGTGCGACCCTGGCCAGTGTGGCTCAGTGGTGAGAGCGCTGGCCCGCAGACTGGAGGGTCCCGGTTCGATTCCAGCCAAGGGCATGCACCTGGGTTGCAGGCTCGATCCTTGACCCTTGTCGGGGCGCGTGCAGGGGGCAACCAATCGATGTGTCTCTCTCGCATCGATGTTTCTCTCTCTCTCTCTCTCTGAAAAAGCAATGGAAAAAATATCCTCGGGCAAGGATTAAAAAACAAACAAAAACACAGAGAAAATAAAATAAAAAGTGCAGTGCTAGTTGCTGTGAGGAATGAAGACGCTGATGAAGCCGTGCCCTTTAGGAATTTATTCACATGGAATGCAGGGCCCTGCGGGGTGGAGGCACCAGGCCGGAGTCAGAGAAGCGCAAGTGTACTTAGGAGTGCAGGTCGTGCAGGGCCTGGGCAGAGCGTGCATTTGGGAGTGGCTGGCGGTGCGAGGGTAACAGGGACGGAGGCGGGCCTCGCCCAGGAACCGGCTCCTTGTCCCGAGGGCCTTGGGCTCCGTGGGGTGGTGATGGGACCAGTAAGTGCTCTGAGCTGGGAAAGAATGTGACCGGGTATATGCTGCAGGGAGGTAATTGCTGGTCACGTTAGCGATGAATCGGACTGGGCGAGAAGTCAGAGGACGGACGAGTCAGGGGACTGCTGGGGGAGCGTTGTGAAGGGGGGAATACTGTAAAGGGGAGATCCCTGATCTCCAGGGAGCTTCTGAAGTGGTGGGTTTGGACCTTATATGTGATGCTCTCCTTTTGTTATAAAGCCGGCAAAAAGACAACCGATGAGGAGCTGGAGGAGATGCTGGAGAGCGGGAACCCCGCCATCTTCACTTCTGGGGTGAGTGCCCCGGGAGCCGGGGTCCGCGCCCTCCACAGAGGAGGGCGGCCACCGGGGAGCTCCACCTGGTAGCGAGTGAAGGGTGGGCTGCGGGTGCCGGAGGCCGGGGAGCGGAGGGGCTCGGCAGGGGGTGGCCGATGGCCCATCTTTGTGTGGCCTCTCCTAGATCATCGACTCGCAGATTTCCAAGCAAGCCCTGAGCGAGATCGAGGGACGGCACAAGGACATCGTGCGGCTGGAGAGCAGCATCAGGGAGCTGCATGACATGTTCATGGACATCGCCATGCTGGTGGAGAACCAGGTAGCCGCCCGGCCCGGCCCGCCCGGTGTGGGGGGAGGAGAGAGACGCGCTCCTGAGGAGGGGACGCAGGGCCTGTGGGCCAGGTGAGGGGTGGCCGCGTCAGCAGAATTCGCTTAACGGAGAAACGGTTCCAGCGTCCCGGGGAGAGGAGCGCGCTCCTGAGCCCCGACGCCTGGGGCAGTCTCGTCCGCTTGTTCTTTCCTCCTGCTCTGGCCTCACAGTCGTTTCTGGTTAACATGGGGTTTGAGGTGTCTGTCAAGTGCCTAGTTCCCTCTGGACTCAGGGTATCTCTTTATTTGTTTTTGAAAGTTCGAGATACGGGTTCTTAACGCTGATGCCTTAAAAACGGCCTCCTGATACGAGCTGTTTCGCTGGTGGTGTCGAAAACCCGATCTTTTCCCCAGTGAACAGTGAAAAGTTAGGTTTAACAGAAGTTTTTATTTTTTTCCACTTTTGTATGTCATCTTATATTTGTTCTTCCAAAAATGCCGATGCTGTTTGCTCAGGAACAAGAGCAGACAAAGCGAAGGAGGGAGTAGCACAGTATTCACGTAAAACCCGGACGCGCCCGCGGCACCTGGGCCCACAGCTCGCTCCGTCCCTGGGCCCACCAGGGATGCGGGGCTCTCACCTGCGGGCGTGTTAGTGTCTCGCAGTCACAGGCGCCCAGTCCTTAGGCGCGGTCAGACACGGCCGGTGCCGCGGTGGGGTGCCGCCGTGACTGTGAACCTGCCTCTCAGCCAGCGGGGCGCTGAGGCCGCAGACCCTGCCTGAAGCCTGGGCACTGCCTGGCGGGCGGTGGATTCAGGTCCCTGCTCGGGGCTCAGGTGCCTTTCCTCCTTCCCCTCTGGCCTTTGAGACCATGTTTCTGGTCCTTCCATCCCCACGTTTCCTTTTTCTCCCCACACTGCCTTGCCGAGGAGCCGGTTTGAGATTCAAGCGGTGGTGAGTGCCTTTCCCGTTGAAAGACTGCTGTAAAGCTATGGGTCCGGTTGAGGAAGGTGTAGGTAGGTGAGGGGAATTCTCATCCTAAGATGCCCAGAAATTAATTGAAACGACAACACTTCCTGCCAGGGAGTAACAGCTGGAAAGTGGTTGGGAATATTAGTAAGAGGCCATTGTTTGTTAGCTAACCAGCTCGGGTACACCCAGTGTGTTGCTAAAGGGGCCTGGGAATGTCTCCTAGAGAAAGCCCATCTTCCCAGCCTCAGGTACTTACTGAGCACCTACTGTGTGCCAGGCACCATTCCACAGTAGTGAACAAACTCAGTTCAGGCCCAGTGAACCTGGTTCAGGCCGGATGCCGCCCTAAGAACATGAGTTGTTTTTATTTTGGTTTCTTGCCACACATGCTTAATTTAAAAAATGTAGTTACCAGGCTTGTAGGCAGAGTGCTCCAGGCGACCAGCCCAGGGCCTGTCACAGAGAAGTGACTCCGTGAGTGATCACCAAGGCCCATGGGTAAATCACGGGAAAAGCTGGGCGTGTGCCCTCCACAAGGCCGCACATCAGGGTTTCTGGATGCGCCCCTTGGCATTGAAGATTAAAGTGTGGGGATAGCCAGGACTCTGTGGGGCGGGGTGGTTATTGAGTGTGACTAGTGTCTGTTCTCTGCAGGGCGAGATGTTAGATAACATAGAGTTGAATGTCATGCACACCGTGGACCACGTGGAGAAGGCTCGGGATGAAACTAAAAAAGCCGTGAAATACCAGGGGCAGGCCCGGAAGGTGAGACTCTCCCGCCGCCTTCAGGGAGGAGTCCATGCTCTGCGCTGTCTCTCGCTCTTTCTTCCCCCTCCCTGTCTCTTTCTCTGCTGCCACCACCTCTTGCTCCCGGGGAAAGGGAGCCATGATCGACCGCATTGAGAGCAACATGGACCAGTCAGTGGGCTTCGTGGAGCGGGCTGTCACCGATACCAAAAAGGCCGTCAAGTATCAGAGTGAAGCTCGGAGGGTGAGCGCCTTGGTCCCGGCTCGTCCTCTCTGCCTCTCCTCTCTCCGGCCATCCCCACCTGTGTCCTTGGGCCCGAGCCCTCTCTCTCTGTCCTCTCCCCCTCCAAACTCCTGTGTCAGCCTCTCCTGGAGACTAGCTGTCCTTCCCTCCCAGGTGTGCCTCTCATGGATCTGGCTCACAGGCTCTCCCAGGAACCCACACTGAACGCTGCTCTGTAGGGTGCAGGTTTCGCCCAGGTGTTGCTCCTGGTCAGAGCTCATGGTCCCGTCAGATGTTCCACTTGACTCCTCTGTCTTTAGAAACCTTCTGTTCATTGTCTTCCACTCGAGCGGCCCAAGCTCTGCCCCCTTTCCCCTACCACGAGCCCCGTGCTGGGCTGATTGCTCTGTGAACATTCCTACCTCATGGAGCACCTGCTCTTTCTACTTCACAGATGACACACTTGAGGGGCAGGGGTGAAGTAATCGGCTTCAGGCCACCTCGTCAGCGCAGGAGCTGGGATTCAGACTCAGACTCTAATCATGTCTTCCCCCCGCCCCAGCCTGTCTCCCCCTTCCTCCTGGTGGCCTGACGCTGGAGGCCTTCTGCCTTCTCTGCCCCTTGACTGGTAGCCGGCTCTAGTGGCTTTTGCTTTTTAGATGTTTCTTTCCTGTTCCTTCTGGGCTCTGCTATTTTTGTTCTTCGGTTCCTTATTTTTCTCGCTTCACGTGTTGCTTGTGCAGGGACTTGGGGAGCTGGGGAGTTGTTTTACCTGATGAACCCAGGCTGGTTCACAGCAGGACCTTAATCTTACTTTTGGATCCCCAGTCACTGGGGCTGTCAGGTGCTTTAGGGGAGGGATGGACAGAGTTTGAAATTAGTCTTAAACATCTTCACAGCCCTTCCTGGAAAGGAAGGACGAGTCACTTTGTACCTTGGCCCATTGCTGTTTGGCAGCTCCGTGATGGTTGCTCTCCTGTCTGTCCACGTGGGCAGGCCTGCAGTGGGAGCTGAGAGCTAGTAGAAAGTCCGTGTTTCCATCTGGAATACACGGCGAGGCAAGAAAGAACCTAACAGATATACAGTATCCTCACAGAACATCTTCAGGTGGAGAGGTAGGCTTTCTTATTTGAGTTGATAAGATGCCGAGGTGAGAGGGGCTGGGTTTTGGATGAATCGCCGTTGCTTCCGGCTGCCTGTAACCATGCCTTGTTTTTGTTTCTCTCACCCCCTCCAGAAGGTGATCATTATCATTGTGGTAGTGGTTGTGTTGCTGGGCATTTTAGCCTTGGTTATTGGACTTTCCGTGGGGCTGAAATAAGGGCGGCCCGAGAGGCTGCTGCGCTGAAATGTAAGTAAATGGGAGGTCCCGGGGACTCTGTCTGCTCCCTCTTGACGAATTAGCCTGGGATTGCAGATTCCACTTCTTCCTCCTTGGGGTTGTCCTCGGGCACCCCGAGCACTCTACCGCTTCCAGGTGCCCGTGTGTTCTCTCATCTCTCTAAGTTTCTGCTCTTGGGTTCTGGCCGAGGCCGGCGGGCGGGGCCTCCTGTTCTCCCTCCCCTGCGGGTTCCGTGCCTGCTCTTTGCCTGCGAGTGTTTCGCCGCCACCCCCGGCCCCTCTGAGCACCTCATTCTCCTTACCCGGCGAGCGCGCTCCTACGCTGGGTACCATCTGCGTTTTGGATCTGGGCTTTGACTTCTGAATTCTTACTCGATTTCATGGATGTTGGGCTTTGCTTTACTGTCTCCTCTTCGGTGTCAATGAGGCTTTGAATTGGGATTGGAGCCTGTGGGGGTTTGTCTGTGGCTGAACCGGTTGGGTCATGAATGATTTAACGGTTAACATTTTTGAGTGTTGAATTGCGCCAGGCAATGTACTAAATAACATATACACGTAGCAGACTCCCCACAACACCCTGTGAGATAGGTGCTAGTATTATCCACACTTGGCAGATGAAGACACGAGTAACAGAACCAAGTCTGAACCCACAGCTAATAGTGGACCTACGGGAGCTCTTGACAACACCTCAGTTTCTCTTTGTACAGCAGGGTAGCCATTTATCACTGTCTACAAAGTGTGGAGAACCTTACAGGATAGTGACTTTAAAATTTAGCCTATTGATTTCTTTAAAATCTGGTAAAAAGAACAAGGCCGACCCCTGGATCAGGGTTTCACGGGTATAGTGATAACACGATAGGAAGGATCCAGTTATTGGGACTGTTAACACTTAAGACTGCTAAGTCAGCGACTTCCCGAGTAGTACTTTCCTGAATAAAATATAGTATTTTTGTTTAAAAACCTATAAAATGCAGAAAAGGTGAACAGAATTAATGTTTAATATTATTGCTGACAGCCTTGTGACATGTTCACACGCTCAGACGTGGTTTTACATAGTTCTGACTGTATTATTTATAGCTTTGCGCCCAGTTACGGCATCGTGAGCATCATTCCACACCACTAAAATCTCCTCGTAGACCTGATCCTCAACACACGGTTGGGACTATACTCTCAATTATCTAACATTTCCCCAATGTCGGATGTTTGTTGTTAATGTTTTCATTACTAACGGTCTGAGTAACTTATGTAACAGTTTTCATTTCTGTTCTCTTTATTACAAATTCATAGAGGTGGGGTTACTGAGGTACTAGGCAGAAATGTTTTTAAGACTTGATACACGCTAACATGTTGACATCCAGAGCTGGTCCTTCCCTGTCTATTTCTTTCCTTGTTCCATGTGACTAGAGGGTCTGAGAGTCAGATTGTTACAGCCCTAAGCATCCACCTTCCTCTGGAGAGAGAGGCAGCAATGGGGTGATCAACATCTCTTGAGTAACCGATTGGTTCTTTTCTTCCCTGGCATTTGGAGTCTAGCCCTTGATTTTTTTATTTTTATTTTTTGCTTTTAAAGTTCAAGTTTTGTTCTGACTCTTAACTATGTCATTGGAAAGGATGTTAAAATTGAGCAAAGGCATAAGAGTTGACATCTTTCCATATCCTTGGATGAAAGATGTCTTGCAAACTCATAATGCCCCAGCCTTTCCTAATCCCAGGAATTCAGGATGTAAAATGAATCACTTTTTAAAACGAGGAGCCTACTTAATATCTTGTTTTGGCGACATGCTGAGTTACTGGGCAGCTGTCGAGTTGCTTACCTTAGTGTACCCCATATTCCCTGATAAAGTCAGGACTGATGGTTACGGGGTCTGGACTCCCCGCCGCCTCCATGTGACCCGAGGGAGAGGCCTCTGAACAGGCGGGAGGCACACGGCCTGCAGCTCTCCCTAGTTGTGTGGCAGCTTCTCCCGTCCAGAAGAAGAGCGTTGCCCCCCTGCAGACAGGGAAGTCCTTTGAAGCTCGGTAAGGTTAAGAAACTTGCCCAGGCCTGCGCGGCTCATCGGGCGGGGTAGCCTCTGTGCAGCCCCTGAACGTTTCCATGTTCTTTGCACTGTGCCTTTCTGCCTTCCCGGAGAAGCGGAGCGCAGGGGGTCATGGAGAAGACGGAGCCCGGAAAGCTCCGAGGCGTGTCCCGAAAGGCGCGGTGTGGGCCCCACAGAGAGAATAGGTCGCCAGGAAGCGCTTGTGCCTCCCCACTGACCGACCTTCCGTGGGAGTGTGGCAGCTTGTGTGCAGGATTAGAAGAGGCCCAGAGGTTTCAGAGTTTTCCCTCTCATCGTAGGGCTTTGCTTCCAGTGCAGCAGGATATCGGGTTTCAGGTCCTGTCTTGGGTGCATCTATTGAATTTCTCAGGCTTGGCGTTGACTTTCGCATTATTTTCCCCTTTTCGGGTATTTCTGATCCTTCCTCTCCACCTTCTAGGTCTGTGGCTGATTCTCAGTGTTGCCCGTCAGCATGATCCCGCACACTGACCGGCTCCTCCTTCCCCTGCCCCCCTTAGAGCCGGAGTCCACCCCGGCCTTGTGTGGCCACCTTGTCTTCAGGTGGGAATGGAGTTTGAATGGCCTTCCCGAGAGAGACTGGGACCCATTCCTTTGTTTCCTGTAACCGTCCTTGGACCTGACCCAGCAAACCGTCCGGCCCTGGAGGAGTCCAGCCTACTTGGTGCAACCCCAAGGTTTCCTCACAACCATCTTCCCCGGAGTGTCTGGACCGGCCTCGTCTCTGTTCCTTCCCTCTGCTGTGTCAAATTTCGCCTTGCACCTCGGAAAGCCAGTTATTTGAGACCTTGCCAAGGTGCTGTATTGTCTACCTCATGGAGTATTCATCTCCCAGAAGTCGCGTTGTATTTTTCTTAGGAGGGTTTCTTTAAAGCAAAGGGATTCTTCCAAGTTTGGCCACAGTAAGGTTTGGACTTGAGTCTTCTACCCAGCAAAAACCCCAGTCCTCGCTGTTCATTGTCCCCCTGTCCTGGAAATACGAGGGAAAAGATGTCACTTTGGTCTGGGAGCTGACTTGCTTGAAATTCAGCCTTAAGTGAAGCTCTGAAGCTTGGTGGCCAACTTCGATATTTGTCTGTGTCGTTCTCTCATGTTTGCTGCAGGTGGCGCCAGCGTGACGCGGTCGCATGAGGCTACCGCTTGTGAAGGCTGAGGGTATGGGATATTTTTTTATGGCTGAGTCTTGGAAACTGGTGGCTCACTGTTAGAGTGATGCTTTGTGAAGCCATTGCCTTGAAGTCAAACATTTTTTGCTTAAAAAAAAATTTTGGCACTTAAAACTGGGCCAGGAACAAGGTGCTTAAGTCTCCGGCTCTGGAAATGTTTCAGGCAGGTACCAGCATTCTGTCACTAAAGTTTCATGTGCTAAGCACCCCCCACCCCCCTCTCATTGTGTCTCTCATGAAGCAGGAAGCTAGAAGCGGAGGATATTATAACCTCAAAAAACAAAACAAAAAACCCAACAAAACCTTGAGCTAGGCTAAAAATTAGGTAAGACACATTTGCTCACCTGCAAATGAATCATCGTAGAAGCAGGGTTTTCCCCTGTCATCGAGCACCCTGCTGGCTCTGGCTGAGAACTGGGAGACGCGTAGGCCTTTGGAGTGAGGACTGAGGTGATCTCCGAGTGTTTCTGCTTAGCAGGTAGATGGCAAGTTTGGACGCCTCCCCCTACCTGCTTCCTAGGGTCGGCTTGTCCCGAGAACATCCCACAGCAATCTGGTATCATTTGTGTGACTTTTGGAATGTCCTGTCTTCAGGATTGAGTCCGTCGGGGGACACCAGGAACTACTGAGTAACTCTTCCTTCTACCAGGTTAATGAGCTTGACAGGTTCTTTGTCTCCCTCAGTTCTTGTCAGGGAGTAATTTTCAAGTGTGGTGACTGTTGAGCCTCCTGGATTCCCTGCCGGTCTCCGCCAGCCTGTCTGACTTACACTTCAGCATTGATTTGAATGCTTTCTAGGACAGGGCGGGCACCCTCATCCAGACACTGCCCACTGGCTTCCTTTGCAAAGGCCACTCCCAGTCATCGCCCAGCACTCAGACAGAGCCAGGGTGATGCCCTCTTGCCCATGGCTATGAAGTTGACAGTGGACTGGCTCCAGCAGCAAAGCCAAGCAAGCTCTAATCACAGGCTTTTGCTCTCCTGAGATTAAGGTCTGGGGCTTATAGTTTGGAATACAATAAGTGAAGGGTATTTTTTATTGTTTGTATTTTTTAAAAAAAATGTCAACTTGATTATTTTATTGCTATTTAAAAATAAATGACTTTATATTGATTGTGAAACATTTCCGGCTCCATTTCCTCGCAAACCACTTAGTGTTGGGCGCCACCATGTGGTGGGCTTAGGTTTTGGAAAGGGGTTTAAATCTTTCTAAACGTGCTGTATCCAAAGTTCCAATTTTTGAAAATAGTTCAACTCTCAGAGTGCAGTGTAACTGTACTAGAGTTTCAGAGTTGAGGGGCTCCCCCCAAAAGAATTTTGGCCCATTCACTGAGAGCACCGGCTCCAGAGGAAATGGGGTAAATTGGTGTGATGGTATCTAGACATCAGCACATACTAAACAGCTGTCCTCTGGGATAGCTGTTGACTGAATTTGGAATCCCTCACCTGGAAGGAACATTCCTACACTCCGGGTTCTGGAAGCCAGATCCATTTCCCCTTCCCTTCATCTCCCCTTCCACGTCCAGATCCACTTTGTCTCCCTTCCTTGGGAACTCTGTCTGCAAAGTGATGCTGTTTCTCACGTGCTTTTTCTCTCCTTGTCTGGATGAGCAGAAGAAGATCATGATCATGATCTGCTGTGTCATCCTTGCGATCATCTTAGCTTCTACCATTGGGGGCATATTTGCCTGAAACAGGTGAGCCATCGGTGGGGAGGGTCAGGCCTGCTTTCACTTACCTGAAATGCGTGTTTCCTGAGGGCAGTCGTTGTTTGTGACCAGGTCTGGGTGGGATTAGGTGTTGGAATAGATGAAGGTTGGAGAAAGCAAAGAGATGCTTCATCATGAGAAAAGCGAGTGAGAATGCATAGTAGGTACACAGGGAGACAAGGGTGGCAATGTGGCCTGGTAGCAGAATGCTTTCTATAAGGGTGTTGATCTCCTGCAGCAAAATTTGGGCCCTGTCCTCTGGGAATGGCCAAAGGATAAAGGATCAGTTCTTGCATTAGAAGCATCCCGAACTCTTTGGAAGAGGGCCACACAGTAAACGGGATATAAATACATTTCCTCCCTTAAAAGGTTATAGGTTAGATTGACGTAGCCCTGTGAGTGGTCCATCACCCTGCAGAAGAGGGGTTAGTGACCCTGACCTGAACCCCTTGCTGTATAATATTTGACTTCCCCTCTCCACTTTTTTATTATCTCCTTCAGCCCTCACAGATGGATCCTCGACTGGCATTTTTAATCCCTCTTCCACCTTGGTGGCACCATCACTTCTCACTATGGATTCCTCAACAGTGACTCCCCTTTCCATTATGAAACCTCTTATGACACAGAGCGCAATCAACTACCTACTGAAAGTTATACAGAGGGAGACGTGTGACTGCAGTTGGGCGGGGGCATGGGTGTAGAACAGGGAGTACGGAAATATGTAGCTGGTCAGAAGGATGGTTTAAAGGAATGGACTGCAGCGTAACAGGCCTGTTCAGAAAATCAAGGCAGATATTTTCGCAAACTCACTTCATCAGCATCTTGTGTGAACTGCCGTCAGTTGCTCAGGACCAGGGCACTTGTTACTTCTGCCCTTCAGGCTCTTCTAGGTCTCGCCTTTGACCAGCCCTACATCTGCTTCCTTCTTCAGGGCCAGCTAGTCTTTAAAGTGTCTAATGTAGGTGCCAGGCATGTCTTGCTCACTGCTGTCCTTGGTGTTAAGCACAGTGCCTGCCACTTACAGGTACTCCTCTGTTGACTTAATTACCTATAATTAAGCTCTGGTTTCTGCTCATGGACAAGTCCTTGGATTTGACTCTTAACCCTTGAAGGCACCAATGGAAAATGGTTTGTAAGTATCAGAAGCTGTGTAAAATGCCTGGAATGGGTTGATCTACTTATGTAAAAACAGAACAGGACCTCCCTCCACACACAACCTATACGGTAAAGTCCTTTTTCTGTGGGTGGTGGTGTGGAGTTCTCCCAGCAGCCTCTCACTCTGCTAAGGCTGGCCCCAGGACTGTGGTTCAATAACTAGACATGGATCCAAAACAGAAGCAGCAGGTTTATACTATGGTTGGACTCGCAGCAATCATCAATACCATGCACTATGAACCACAAGAAGATGAAGATGTTAGGTCAGAAAGGTGAAGTGAGACTATCACTTCCTTCTCACCCGATGCACGTTTGTAGCTGAAACTGACTGTTGGCCAGCAATGTGTGTACAATGTGGGGACTGTGTCCAAACTGTCCCCAATTCAAGGTTCATCTTTGTTCTGTGCAATTTAGTGATTAACTGTAAGAGGTTAACTAAAAGTACATTAAAGATAGTATACAACTTTTGAGGACCACACAACTCTTTAGATAAATTTGTACTTTTGAAAGTACTTTCTTTGTGGGAGATCTTAACTTTTTAAGAAAATGGGATAAAAATATTTGACAGTTTAGTCGGTGTGCTTTCAAAAGCAAATGGTTTAATACTTGTATCAATTTGTATTTCTTTTAGTTTGAGCAACAGATAGAAAACTACTGCTGGCTAGTTCTGAAAAAAAAAAAAAAGACTATCTTGGTAAAGGCAGACAGGGAGCTAGAACCAGGGGGCCCTCACTTATCCAGCAATAACTGTTTGAGTGCTGTGTGGCACACGGCACTCTACTAGAACCCGCAGGGACACAGATAGAGCCAGACACTCTTCCTCAAAGAATTTCAGACGTAGGACAGGCCACACAATTTCAACTCGTTTTTATCAGTTTCTTTGGCTAACAGGCAAGGGTGTGTTCTCTACCATAATGTCCAGTATCCCCCCTTCCAAGATTGAGAGATTGGTAGCTGGGCATAAGTAAATATCTGTTGAATTAACCCACATATTGTCATTTTATTTCTTTGCTTTTCCAAAAACATTAGTTTGTAACTAGTAAAATGTCATAGAAACTAGCTCCTGAGGTGTATATATGAAAGGTAGTACGGATATTAAGTCCGACTTACATCAGAGGCCAGAGGTACAAACATCTGCTTTAGCCCTGAAGACGTTCACTGCAAGGCCAGGGAGGACCAGAGCTCCCGAGTCCACCAGGACTGTTTCTCAATCATTTAAGGGACTGAGAATGACTAACAAGAAGTTATAAATAGAGGTGATATTCAAAATTTTATTTAATATAAATATAATGCATTTAAATCTGCAGATATTGTACAATTTTTCAGAAATCATCTACAGCACTCATGTGTTTCCTTGGTTATGACATCAGAGCTACCCAAAGACAGGGTAGCTGAGGGGAACAAAAGCGTAGGTTCCTTCTCTGTACATTTAGTTCTCATAGTCTCACTATACACGTTTAGGCAAGTAGAATTTGCCCCAGTATCGCCCCTTCTGGGTCAGGTCATATGGGCTCAGGAATTTCCGTATCCCCAGCATGTTCGCAGTGACTATCCGCTCAAAGGTCCAGGGGTTTTGGCTGTTCCGTTCTCGCTCTTCCTGATGTTTCCGCATCTTCTCTAGAGTCTCACGGCTCACGGCCTTTGCTGGGAAGGGCAACTTGTGGGCAACTTGGTCAAGGAAACCTTGTACCTCTTTGAATTCACAACGTCCACCCACCTCTACTATGAGGCGGCCAGTCTTCACGGGAGTCACGTAGTGATCAATGGCGCCTTTGCCGCCCCCCATGCGCTGTCCCATTCCCTTACGGGTGATGGGCTTGAAAGGGGCTGGTACACGCCATAAGGCAAACATGTTCTTGGGGTCCAGAGAGCGGTTGATTGTCAGGCGCATCATTTCAAAATGGCCCCAGTGGAGGTAACCACCCCCCAGTGCCTACAAGAAAATGGAAGAATTAGAAGCACATGGGAATTTAAATATCTTTTATAGGCTCTATTCTTACGTCTTCTTTTATAAAACTGTGGCTTCAACAAGGCACATGAAAATAAGAGTTCTAGTAAATACTATGGAAAGCCTAGGACTGAGTAATAAATGAGAATAAGGTGGACCCACCTCAGTGGGCAGCGGGGAAGGGTCTCTGATGAGGTGACATTGAAAGCTGAGGCCAGAACAGTAAGAACTAACCAAAGGAAAAGAGATAAGTGTTCCAGGCAGAGGAATGGCGTAGGTGAAGGCCTGGAGTGTGAGAAGCCAGTGTGGCTGGAGTAGAGTGAGGAGCTAGGGGGGTGGGGGGGGTAGGAGTGGCCATGAGGTTCTGAGAGGTAGGCAGGGGCTGATCATCCAGGCCGTGGGGAGAGGACTTTAAAACATCACTCAGGCTGCCTGATGGGAAATAAAGCCTAGTCCACACCCATTTGTGTAGCTACTGACACCAAGTCTTCATGGAAGCTACTCAGTGAGGAAGGAAACAGCTGTCCCACATCCTAAACAGTGGATAGTTTTAGTTTTCAAGAGGCCTGCAAAGATCTCATGGCCTGATTATAGGGTAAGTTAGGTAGCCTCTTCCCCCCCCTGCTTTTACATTATTTTCACTCTACATAAAAAAGAAAAAGNTGCAAAGATCTCATGGCCTGATTATAGGGTAAGTTAGGTAGCCTCTTCCCTCCCCTGCTTTTACATTATTCTCACTCTACATAAAAAAGAAAAAGAAACATAACTCAAATGTTTTCTGGGCATTGAATATCAGTTTAAAGAGCAACTGGTGGCAGTTTCAATAAAACCTGTGAAGGAGGAAACTCGAAGAGTGAGATTATGTTAATCCCTAGCTTCCACCCTGTAGCTGTTTGCTGCTGAACTCACCAAGATCGCAAAATTGCCTTCTGTGAATTCAGTAGCTTCAGTCGAAGGTCCCCGTATGTCACGCAAGTTTTTAGGTTCTCTTCTCACTTTTGGCACAAGTGGCACCCTTTCAACAAACCTAAGCTTGGGCCTTTCAGGAATGGAAACATCTAAGAGGAGCACACACAATTAAGAGTAAGTGATACTACACATCTCAAAGGATTCTTTTTCTTCCTAGGAAGATTTGTAGCAACCAGGTGAAATTTTGTCTTAAATAAAAGTTACCATGGAACAAGAGTTCCAAACATGCTTGGTTTTCCGTGTGGATGCTTTTACTAACACTGAAATCCTTTGGCTATGACAATGGCCAATGCAAATGTTTTTGAGCCTTTGAATATAGGAAAGTTTTAACCTTCAAACCAAAATGCATTCATTAAATGCCTACTCTGGGCCTAACGCTCTAAAAGGGAACATTTGGGGATAGTATAGAGATATAAGACTCACAGAATAACACTAGCCAACATTTTAATTTTTTTTTTTACTTAGTGCTGGAATTGAGCTGAATACTTTGCATGTATTATCTCACTTAATCTTTTAAAACAAGTCTATAGCCTTGGTGTATTTTTAGGGCTTCCTGTTAAAAAATTTTGAACATTTTAGAGTTTTATAAACATATATCAAAGGGCCAAATAAAAAAATGTGCCGCTCAGTGAATTATCACAAAATGAATGCATAAACACACCCACATAACTATCACCCAGATCAAGAAAAAGAACATGAGGCAGGTAGTATTTTTAATCTCCATTTTACAGAAGAGGAACTTGAGGCCTAGATACATTTTATAATTTGGTCTCGGCCATCAGTTAAAACAGCAAAGCCAGACAGTATGCCACTTAAAAAACAAAAAACAACATTGCCTCTCTGGATGTTAATGGGGGTAGTGGAAAGAATACTATATTGTACATGAACACATCGAAATTCTCCTGCTGCCACATTCTTGTTGGGGAACTTACAACCTAGGACTCCTGTGATCACTGCTCTTTCCTTTACTTAGGCAGGGGCTTTTCATGTTGAGACTTGCACATACCCTACAATACATGACAGCTTGCTGGGTGAGGGTGGGTGGGCTGAAATGCAGGTCAAGACACGCTACACCTTTATCATGTCTGACATTTTGGGGAAAAAAGTCATCTAAAACACTTCTATAGTAAAACAAACACGGCTCTAAGACGGAATCAAATATAAAACAGGAGACTTCAAGGAAATAGGAAATTATGAATGGGCTATTCAGAGTTACAGAAGCTGTCCCCTCTCCTCTACACCCCCTCTCCCCACAAGTTTGTATATGCGGCTACAGAGAAACAGTAATGCTTTCTCTAGCCTCTAAGCCCATATGTACTTCTGGAGCACGTAGCAGTTTAACAATTCTGTGTAGAAGTTACGGCTCTCAGAGGTCCAGGCCCCTTTCATTTTTTGAGATTTCCAATATATTAAAAAAAATATATTAAAAAAAGAAACAGTAAATTACTAAATTGTGGCTTACCTTAAACATTCACATTTAAAAAAATTAATGCTTTTTGCATAATTTTGTTAAGCGACTGCATATATGAAACCTCACTTGGAGAGAACATACAAAGTCTAAATTTGAGGGGAATAGCCCTCACTGAGGGTGGGCCATTGGCCACGGGCCACATACCAGTGGTAGGCCATGGGGGAGCTATGCCTTTACACATTTGCTCCATAAGAGCAGGGACCTTTTGGGGGGGATGTCTCTTATTTTTTCATTTATCCTCGGTGTTCAGAACACTGCTTGGCACATAGTACGCCCTCAATATATATTTACTGAACGAATGCAGGGAGGGAGCACAAGGACACTCCTTCGTCTTCCCTGCCCTCTGCTGGGTTTCATCAGAGGGAAGGCTTACAAACATGAAAATGACAAATCAGCTCTCACCCTCGAAGGTCGGCACCGGGAGCAGCGTCTTCAGGCCAGCGCTGGCGGGGAGGGCTGCCCAAGAATCTACAAAGAGAAATCAAATCAAACAAGGAAGGCGACGAGGGCCGCGTACGCTTCGGGCCAAAGACGCGCCTGACCGAGGTGTCCTGAGGGGTGGGCCTCGGGCTCCGCCACCTGGAGCTCAGGCGCCCACGAGCCGAGCCGGGGTCTCTGGGCGCCGACCCCACAGGCGGCGGGAACCCTCTGCCCGATTCTGAGGGGGGCGGCGGCAAAGCGCAGCCCCGCCGAGCGCCTCGGCCCCGGTACCCACAGGCAGGGCCTTCGGGGCGTGAGACACAGGACCGGGGGCGGGGTGGGCGGGGGCCCGCCCGGGGGACCAGGGGCACGTCTGACCTGACGAAGGCACTCGCAGGACGGGCGCAGCGGCGCGGGCCAGCAGGCGCCACATGGTCACGCGAGTCCAGCCGGGCTCCCCGCAGCGACCACGGACCGAGGTTACCTTGACCGGGAGCGTGGCTCCCTGCGGCCCCGCGCGGACTCGCTCTCCCCGCTCAGTCGGGCAGGAAGTTGCGTTTGCGCCGGTCCCTCTGCAGAGAGTCCCGGCGGAAGCGGAAGAAACCCGAGCCTCTGCGCGCGGGTTCCGGCCCCTGCTGCGCTGGAAGGGCGCCCCTGTGGTCCTCTGGGGTCTGCATCCAATCCGGGGTCTTTTCCTAGATAATTACTTGTTGTAAAAGAACCAAAAGGTAAACCAGACTTCTGCATTTAAATAGTAACTACAATAATGTCTGTTGTGTCTTACAAGAGTTGTGTGAGGTACAATGGAAGAC